TTCTTTCTAGGGTCATTAGGAAATTTTGAATGAAAATTAGATTTACCAACATTCTTGCCTTTTATCAAAAGAGCTTCTCCTTTTAGGTTTTTGATAGAATCTGATTTTAGTTCAAGAACCTTATTTCTTATGGCATTTATTGTAATATCAGTGGTAAGCTTGTCTCTACCATACTCTAAGGCATTATTGAGGTCTCTATATCTATCATTAATGGAGTTTAACAAGACCACAACTAGCTGATCTTCCAATAATTTTTCATCACAGTTGGCAAGGTCCTGGGTCAGTTTTGTAAATTTGTCCAGGTTTTCATCCAAATCAACAGAAGAGTCCATTTTGAAAGAAAATAATTGTTTTAACAAAAATCATTTGTTTGGAACAATTTTTGACTTATATTGAGTTTTTAATTTGGTCTACAATTCTTCAGCAGTTTTATTTTCATATATACACCTTATCACACCGTCTAAAAGGTACACAAAAATAGTACTCCATGCTATTTCCTCTAACTCGATTCTTTTAGTCAAGGACATCTCTGTGAGCCATAGATTTTCTAGAGCCCTAGCACATTTTAGCTGCATCAAGATAGCTCTCATTTTTTGACTCTACATATTAAAGTCTCCCCTTTCATCATACATATCGCCTTCAAACTTAGCAATGGCCATGACAAGATACACCAAGAGAATACACAGTGCACAAGTTTGAATTTAAGAACACACAGAGACACACGACGAGATGATTGCAGGCAGACAGGTGATTAAGACTAATCACCAATGCACTTATACAAGATTCTTCAAGCAGTGAACACACACAACCCTGAGTATATGAGGCAGAATCACAAAGAACGAAGATATCAATTTTTATGCCTTAACTAACTTCTCCAGTAAGACCTTCTAATTGCACCCCTCAACGTGTTGTTATCTCAGATTCCCAAGACTTCTTGAGTCTTTGGACAAAGACCAAGCATGTGAGGTATTTATTTAGTACAAGGCAAATCAAGGGAAAAATCAGGAGGCTCCACAGTAAAATTACTTACTAAAGAATGCAGGAAAGATCTCACCAAAGAGTTCGAAAGAACTCAAATTCCACCAAACAGTGTTCACAGTATTTGAAGAGCAGGTTCAAAATCTGGTCTCTCAAGAAATCAGGTGTCCTCAATATTCCAAATAGCTCTGATACTACTGAAATGTCGAGAATCACACAAATATTAACCAAGATTCATAAACCAATCATCAAGAACAGTAAGTAAAAGTGTAGAAAACATAAAAAAATCAACATAAGATTTTTCAGTCGTAGCCCCAGAGATTCGGCGACCACTTCTAACGCCTGATTCCCTATTGAGAATCCATTATAAATGAATTTAGCTAGGTAACACTAAAATAGCCAAAAATCGACAACAAGAATACACAACCGTTCCAAAAAAATACAAGAACAAAGTCACAAAGACTTGTCTCAATAATATCCACGAAGGAATCAACTTAGACCACTAAGATCTCCAGAAAATCCGAACTACTCTCACAAGAATCACTCAAATTCTCACAAACCAACATATAGTAGTACACTACTACAAATATTTATAGTATTACAAAGGGTTTTCACTAGTTATATGTTGAAACATTGGAGAAAATCAAACCCTAATCACAAAGATGGAGTTCTTCACAGAGAGAGGGACCACGAAGAGACAGATTCAAAACCAAGAAAAAATCTCTCCATTCTGCCAGACCAAAGGTTACTGGAAGCATCTAGAAACAGATCAAATGGCCAGAATGGCTCTACGTGTCAAGATCCAGTAGAAAGTCTCCACTAATAAAAGTGTCAATCCAAAAACACACCTTTAATATAATTTTGGAAGCACAACTTATATAATCAATAGGTCATGGGTTCGAGACTTAACAATACCTTTTCATATAAATATAAGCAAATAGTTAGTAATATAATTGTATTACGTATAAATTAGTGTTGCCCTGTCCATTGAACATGATATTGTTTAAACTGTGGTTATAGTAGTGTACTGTTGTTGTTGTTGTTGTTGTTGTTGTTGTTGTTGTTGTTATTATTATTATTATTATTATTATTATTTAGTATCTTTTGTGCAAAAGTAGGATATTTTAACTTTTCATGATAGAAAATAGGACCAAATTCAAAATGACGTTCATTCGAAACTGCATGTTCATTTTCATGGATACTAATAATTCTCGTTGATGAAATGAACGTGACAAAATCAAGAATGAGTTTTGTTTACAGAGAAATAAGCAAAATAAATACATAGTAATTAATAGCATGCGACTCATAAAGAAAAATATATATTATGTAATTAATGAAACAAGGGCATGTAATGCACTTTTATATAAAGCACAATATTAAGACAGAAAATACACAATAAAAAACTCTCATGAACCCAAGTAGTGGCACTTTCAATTATAATAATTGTTATTGCATTATTCTTCATTTCTCCGGCCATTTGTGGTCATTATTCGGCTACGATTAAGGCATATTGCGCCGAAACCCCATTTTCACAACCATGTGAGACTTGTGAATACTTCTTGCATAATAACCCTGAAAATGGATTTCCTATCAAAGTCCAATTTTTTTAAGGCATTGTTGCAACTAGCTAGCCTTGGACCGCTCCATGTACGCCAAATTTAACGCATATGATCTAGTGGCGCAATGTCGTAATGCTAAAGAAAAGGCTGCGTGGACCGTTTGGCTAGAGTTATAGGCTAGAGTTATACGAAGTTACCATTATGAAAATCAACAAGACTATTGATTCTAGTACAAAGTGCACTGCATCCAATATTCAAACATGGCTAAGCACTGCCCTAAACAATGTCCAGACATGCAAACGTGGGTTTATTGATTTAGGGGCAACAGATAATTTCTTGTCTTTAATGTCTAACAATGTCACGGAGCATATTAGTAACCTTGTGTACTTAAACAAAGGGTAGTATGGGGAGCCAAGTTATTGCGGTGGGGACAAGACGGCTCCGGCAACTAAAAGTGTCAAGCAAGGGACATATATGGAGAACGTCAAATAGCGTGAGACAAGGAAATGAGGACTAGTGGACTCCAAAGGAACCATAAGAAAAAGGGAACTTTCTTTTTTTAATGCCCAATTGATATTAATATTGTATATTCTCAACCAATATTAGAATTATTTTTGATAAGGCCACCAATGGTGATAAATTACATTGTTTGGCGTTTTTGTCAACACAAGAAAACTATTAGAGTACGATGACATAAGCTTTGTTTAGTCCGATAAGAAAAGCTCGTTGTGCAATATATGTGATGAAATTAAAATTATGGAAAAAGGGAGGGAGCGAGGGGGGGGGGGGGAAG